TGGTACTTTTTTTTTTTTGTCAGTCGTGGGGCTTGAACTCTGGGCTTGGGTGCTGTCCCTGCACTCTTCAGCTCAAGGCGAGTGTTCTACCACTTGAGCCACAGTGCCACTTCCAGTTTTTCTAGTGGTTTATTAGAGATAAGAGTTTCACAGACTTTCCTGCCTGGGCTGGCTTTGAACTGTGATCCTCAGATCTCATCTCCTGAGTAGCTAGGATTACCGGCGTGAGCCACTGGCACCTGGCTAGGTAGTCAATACCTTGAGCCATGTCTCCAGTCCCACCATTAGGCTTTAAATGTTTTTCTTTAGGCATTTGAAATGTTAGAAAATATAAATCAATAAAACATGTCTTTTATTATAAAACAATAGTGAATCATTTAATCAGTTACAAATCAAACTTTATTTTAAAGATGTTAAAACAAACCAATGCTTCAACTTTAGTTTCCTTAAGATATACTTTCTCTAAGCAATTAATACATAAAACAACAGAAAACAATGATCTTGATTCACAAAAAATTTTACTGTCTAAAATTAGTTCTTTTGTAAATTTCCTGAAAAGTAGATCATTTTTTTTAAAAAATGCTGTTGTTCTAGATCCCAGTTTTATAGTTACACATTAAATGTTGCTTTAGAAGACCATATAAAATAACCCTTTTTGTTGCATGCAATTTAGTTGGATATCAATCTTCTTTCCTAAGATTTATCTTTTATAAACTTCCTGTAGCTGGGTGTATAACTACTCAAGAAGCTGAGGTCTGAAGATTGCAATTTGAGCCCAACCTGGGCTACTAGAGACACTTATCACTAATTAACCACTAAAAAGCTGTGCTCCAATACTGGCATTAAAAAAATGAGCAAATAAATTAATCTCCTGTAATGGCTTAGACGTTATTAAAGGAATCCAGGACTAACCTAGCTTTTACAGCTGCAAAGATTATCTCTATTCATCTCTTTTGTCCAGGCCATTAGACCTGGCTCTGTGCTCCAATATTTACATTAAAAGAAAATACAGATATACATAGAACTTGGAAAATGAATTTATTCTTGGTCCGTTCTGTCTTTCCTATAGAACTGTTACAATTTACAGAAAAGGTTGGGGGAAAAAGCCAGGAAATAAGCATATGTAGTTTTAACTATGAGCCCTGGTGGTTACTCGCACTGGGAGACAGTCTTTTAACCTGGCAACAGAAGCCACAACTTTTGAGGATGGCCTTTATTGCCCTTAGTATAGTATTTCCTATAGGGAATTAAAGCAGAAAAACAATTTTTAAAACTACAACCTAATTACTAAGGCCCTATTAACACCACATGAAGACTTACCTTTAGATCAGTGGGATAGAACTAAGTTGTATTCCTCACATTCATGATTGATTATTGTTTGACAAGGATGTCAAAATTTTGATGGGCTAATAAATAGTATGGGAATGAATGCATGTCCAGATTCAAAGAAGTAACAATGAAGCCCTATTTCATAACATACACAAACATCAACTCAGTATGGGTTGTAGTCACAAGTATAAAAGAGCCAAAGTTATAAAATAGCTGAAGTTATAAAATTCTTAGATTAAAAATACAGGAATTAAAGTTTCCACAATATGTGTTTGGGAATGGCTACTTAGTACGGATATTGAAAACACACACGGGCACCAGCACGAAATTAAATACAGTGAATTGCATCAAAATAATAAACATTTGTGCTCAAAAGACATTTTTGAGAGAATGAAATAGAAGAAAATTATTTGCAATGTTTAACAAACTTTTATCCACACTATGTAAAGAGCTTTTATGAACCAATAAGAAGAAGACATAAGTTACAATGGGCCAAAGGATATGAGTAGACTAATCTCCAAAGAAGATATACAAATGACCAGTAAGATATTCAACACCATCAGTCATTATGCAGTTACAGTTCTCACCACAATGAGATTTCATTTCACATACAATAGGATGCTTCTATTTAAAAATGCAAATGGTAAAGAGTATTAATGAGAGTGTGAAGAAATAGTGATTCTTTAGAACTGCTGGTAGGAAAATAGTTTGACACCTGCTTCAGAAAATAGTTTGGCATGCCTTTAAATAAAACTTTATTTAAATGGTTACAAAAATGATATGTGCATACTTTGTTTTGACATGAGATAGGAATTATCTCATCAAAACTGTCTAAAGTATATTATTGTGATTGGAAAATCATCCACAATATAAAAATATATCATCCAAGTGCAAATGGACAATAAAAGAAAAACAATCTCACAATTGATTGGACATTGATTAGGGTCTTTAATTTCTACCTTGTAAAAATTATAGGAGAAAGTTGAAAGGGTTTTGAGAAGTCTATAGTGATATATTAAGTTGTGAGGGACTAGAGCTTATAAAACAACATGAAGGATGCTGGTGTAATTGAATACAGATCAGGTAGAGGGGAAACAGAGCTGTGTATTTGCACTGTTTAAGGGGATGAAGGCTTGTCTGCTAATAATCAGGAGAGAAAATAAAGTATTTTTGCACTATTCTAGGAGGGATATAATTAAGTAAAGTTGGAATACATTGAAGCCAGACAAATTTTTACCTGACACATAATTTTGATAATAAGAGTAATTACCAGAAATTGTTAACAAGATGTTAAAAAATCTCTACTGGAGACATTTTAATATTAGAGGTAATAATGTTTTTAGCTTAAAGAACATGAAAAAGGACCTAATATTTTCTGTATATGAAAATATTGTCTTCAAAGCTAGCTATAGAATGATTATTAGGGAAATTTTCCAGCAAGAAGACTAGAATGGAATTTACCAAAATTCTTTACTATTAACTTGAGGATCAGTGCTTCCTGTCATTGTTTCCCTATATTTTCTTACATTCTCATAGATTATATCAATATTTTTCTAATCAGCAAATCAAAGTTTAAAATACAAATCAGATGTATATAGTATGTCTTAGTTTAGGTGTTTGATTCTTCCCTAGATCCAGTCCCATTTTAACTGTACTTTTGGATTTACTAACTTTTACCAAATACTATATATTATTAGATAAGCTACAACTCTCGTAAGAATTCCTTGCCTTCTATTTTATTAGGTGATAACACTAGAGATATTTTAATAGAGAAATATTAAAGCATGAATTTTACTACTCATCTTGCTTAGACATAAATAATATAGAAAGAAAAAAAAAGAAATGTGCTGTCTCCAAGCCATTGTGGTTTAATTATATTTCACAATGACTTTAGCCCATTTTTCCTTTATTATCCTTAAAGCCATTGCAAGTCTGAACTAAATAAGTTTCTTCATTTTCTTTTTCTTTCTTTTTTTTTTGATCCGGTCGTGGGGCCTGAACTCTGGGCCTGGCGCTGTCCCTCAGTGATTCAGCTCAAGGCTAGTGCTCTACCACTTGAGCCACAGTGCCACTTCCAGCTTTTTTCTTTTTGCTTATGTGGTGCTGAGGAATCGAACCTAGGGCCTCATGCATGCAAGGCAAGCACTCTACCACTGAGCCACCTTCCCAGCCCTAAATAAGTTTCTTCAGGGAGTCCATATCTTTGTAGATTTTATGAAAGGCAGGAATGTTTGTTCTCAACTAGCAGATAAAATGAAAAATTTCAAATTAATCTAAGCTAATAATTCAGTTATTTGTAGATTACAAGTAAGCAAGTCTGTTAGAAAGTTAAAACAGAATAAATATATTCTTTATTTGTTTCTCAACTCACATCAAAAGCCTGGCTTGGACCACGCACCAGTGGCTCACATGTGTAGTCCAAGTCACCCCGGAGATTGAGAGCTCAGGACTGTAGTTCGAAGCCAAGCCTGGATTGGAAAGTACATGAGACTTTTATCTCCAAATAACCAGCAAGAACCTGGAAATAGAGCTGTGGCTCAGTGGAAGAGGGCTAACCTTTAGCAAAAAAGCTTAGGGCCAGTAACTAGACCCCGAGTTTAAGCTCCAGTACACATGCACGCGCGCGCACACACACACACACACACACACACACATGCGTGAATGCACACATGCACACAAATACACACATAGCCTCTAACCTGACTCCTCTGTGTGGACTTTAAGTTGGTGTCATATTAACGACTATGCCATAACATTTATTTTATATATCTACCTTTTTCTAGAAATGTGGTCTCCACATAACTCAGATTTTTACACTTTTCCTCAGTCTATATTTTTGAGACAGGACTCTTGCATGTTTGCATTTTAAAAGTTCCCTTTAGGAAGCATAGAAATGGTGGGATAAGGGGCGAACTAATTCAGCAGTGATACTCACCAGACACGTCATTGGAAATGAACTGTACAACTTGAGGGAAGAGAGGTCAGGAGGGAAAAAACTGGAAGAAAATGAGAGAGGCGTGACACTGTTCAAAAAGAAATGTACTCATGACCTGACTTATGTAACTGTAATCCCTCTGCAAATCACCTTTACAATAAATAAAATTCATAGAAAGAAAATTATATATATACATATATAAACGCTTCCTTTATTAAAAGCAGTAAGAATCAGGTTGTTACATGAAAGGATTTTGATTATTCATCTTCTTCATTAACCAGCAATTTTCAATCTTAAGCTGACCATCCAGTATCTGGGGAGCTATTTAAGAACATTAATGCATCTACCTCACCCAAGGTCCATTATATTACAATATTGGAAGGACTGAGGTTGTGAGATATATCGGGTGGCTGGAATTGTTATCTATCTATCGATCTATCTCTATATATATCAGATTTTTTTTTAAATATCACAAGTAATTTCTAGTATAAGAATGGAATCTGATAGCCACTTCACAAGCCTGGAAACCAATCACTTGTGACTGGCCAACTCTGCATTGTTGTGTTTTGCTTTTCACCATCCACTACAGACTCCTGTATCCATTCTGTAGAGGTTTGCTGAGTGAATGATGGACACTAGACATCTCTCTTGCATTTGCCCATTCGTTCCTGCATCCATAATGATATCCACCTGGGCCTGGTTCCAGATTTAGTCATGTTGGTCTTCATTTTCTTAGCACAGGTGCAGCAGTGAACAGCAGTGAGAGTCTCCCTCCATCCTCGTCCGTCAATGACATCTCCTCCATGTCCACCGACCAGACCCTGGCATCCGACACTGACAGCAGCCTGGAAGCCTCGGCGGGACCCCTGGGTTGCTGCAGGTGACTAGCCGCCTGCCTGCGAAACCCAGCATTCTTCAGGAGATGATACGATAGAACACACACACACAGACACAACACACACACACACACACATGAAAACACACATGCACACACACACACATGCAGACATGCAATGTCAAGAACATAGCAAGGGAGAGAATCCAAATCTAAATTTAAAACCAATCTTTTAGCCTGCTTCTTCCTTCTCCAAAGTTCTGTATTGCAGCAAAGCTCAAGTGTATATTTAACTTCTAGTTGCTCTTGCTTTGGTCTCCTTCCAATGATGCTTACTACAGAACAGCAAATTGAACACGATTAGAGAAGCCTTTCCCGTAAAGTGTCATTTAAATGGCTGCAAAACCAGCAACCTGTAACTGCCCTTTCAAATGGCATGACAAGGTGTGCAGTGGTCCCATCCAGCATGTGTGTCTCTATCTCGCATCTACCTGCTCCTTTTGGCCTAGTCAGATGGATGTAGATACAGATCCGCATGTGTCTGTATTCATACAGCACTACTTAGAGATGCTACTGCCAGTGTCCTCAGGGCTCTTCCAAGATACCATGCACTGGGGTACCCATGGTCCATTTCGTGTGATCTATTACTCTGACATAAACCCATCTGTACTATATTGCCAATATATACACTGTTTAGTTTGCTAATTGATTAAGCTGTATGTCTTATAAGAAAACATGTAAAGGGGGAGGGGGGAAATGGAGGGAGTGAGCACTTGGAACATTGAAGATGTAGCTTCTAAATTTGAATCGATTAAATGGCACCTGTATACCAATTTGTAGAAAAACATATGTGATGCTTATGTACAGGGTGTTGGTGGGGTGGGGGAGGGAGCTAAGTCACAGTTTCCAGGTTCTAACTGTTCTGGCCTTTAGAAAGGATGTATAGATAAAAACTGAAGGTTGTTGTGTATTTTTTTCTCTGACAGTGGAAAGGTAGCAGGGAATAGAAAATAGTGTTGTAGTGTGGACTAATATGGAAAGAAAAGAAATACCCTCATACTAGGAGACACTGACATCCATATTTTCAAGATTAGAGCCCATTTGTCATTTCAGAAGCACAAATCACAAAAGGAGGCTCCTGGAGACAAGGGTGTGTGGTGAGAGAGGATCACTGTGTACACATTGGATGATAGGAATCTTCTCCTGCATACAGAAGAATTTCTTCCCTATGACTGATTTCTTCAACAGTAACCAGCCTCGTCCAGGATGTACACACTATGGGCTGTGCTTGGCATACTCAGGCTGCTTCTTAGCATTACATCCTGCCAAGGTTTTGGTTTAAGAAGAAACCTTTCGTTTTTCTCTTCTGGACTAAAATAATATAAATTTACTAAAATAGAATCCCCAAAGTACAGATGATCCCCAGGTTAGCATTTGAAAACATCTCTACAGGTATTATTGTTTCTCAGGAGGTCTACCGACTCCTTCATATAACTGACATTTCATGTTGATTGATTTTTTTCCCCCACAAATTTAAACAATCCAAGAAGGGCTGATCATCTGAGTTTTGTTGGATTGAATTGCAGTTGGATATAAAAGCAATAACTGCCCCCCCAAAGTTACTGCTACTAAATAGCATTAGCAATATGAGTTTGTTCAAAAGCCATGAAGCATTCATGTCAGTATTTAGCAAAAATCACCAGAACCTGACTTGAATCAGCTGGAAGGTTTTTTTCCTGGGTACTGAAGGAGGTGTTATGAAACATCTTCATAATGTACTAGGCAATACCATAATAAACAAGGCAAGACTTCCTAGCAATACTAGGGACTTGGCTTAGGCTTCCCTTGTTCCTTTCTTAGGTGAAGTAGCCAACAAGGTTATTTGCACTTTGGCCATTTTGGTGCTCACCAAGGTGGGGGTATTCCACTTGTAGAAGTGAATCACAAGGAAGGTATGATATGACTGGCAAATAGAAGGCTCTCAAAAATAGAGCAAAGAAGAATAGCTCTCCCTCTGAAAACTGCCTTAACTACCATACCAGGAAAGCTCTTTTTCCAAGCAAATAGAGCCAGTAGGGAGCTGCAACCATTCTTACCACTACCATGCCAGCAGTCCTATTAGACATGGAATTGCTTTGCACAGGAGGATTCATTGCAAGACATAATTTGTTCAAAATGGAGAGATCAATGTTAGATTGTGCAGTGTGTCCCCTGGAATAAAAAAAATCCCAGTGCCTCTCTCACTACTATTCATTTTGCTTAATATTGCAGACAACCTGATTTTTAAAAATGCCTGCTCATTCATGAGTATTCTCCTAGTTTGTTTCTTTTTTTGCTTCTTTCTTACTCTTGACACTCTGGCCACTCTAGTGCCTCCTGCTTTAATCCACAGGGATTAAGAACAGAGAGCAGGCAGCTTCTTGAAAGAAACAAGTCTCCAGGGGAGTTTCATCAGTCACAAGATGACAACAAAAGTCAGGAAGAAATTCTCCAGTTGCATCTTAACAGTGCCTGGCAGTTAGGCTATCTCTCATTCAGCAGAAGTGGTCATTTTTTCTACTAAAACTAGATCAGGCAAGAATGAAAGAGTTCCACTCCCCTCCCCTCCTATTATAACCTTGTACTATTTCCCGTTGTATGCTGCAGGGTGCCAAAGACCCTTTGTGAACAAGAAAACAATCAAATACATCTCCAAGATTTAAGATAGACCTTATAAATAGAGACAAGGATTTGGCCTTCCAACATCTTATAGGATCTTCTTAGGTGTTCAAAGCAAGATAAATGATGATTCCCTTTTATAGGGTATCTTCCTTTGAAAGAAAGGAAGACTGAAAGAAAGAAAGACTGAAAGCTTTCAGTCTTGGGTCCTGTTTATCTTTGCAATGTGATTGTATTATGATAAAATTTACAAAATATATTTTACACTGTTTTCCTTTTTTAAAAAGAAAAGATACATTCAAGCCTCATGATGACAAAACAAAAAGAAGAAGAAGAAAAGATACTCAACACTTCCAATGTACTTGTTACTTTGGGTGAAAGGAAGTGTCAAGCTACGAAGTGAAGGTCCTTTCTATGGTCAGGATCAGTCCTGGAGCATGAACTTGGTGCTTGAGGAACTTGGCCTTTCACCTTTTTATAGATAAATGGTTTCACAGTGACCCTTAATCACATGTTTTGCAGAATTCTTTTGTAGAAATGAGCTCGTACCCCTGTGCAGAAGAATGAGAAGTGAGAACAAGGCAAACCTGTCATCACTTTAGCTTTCTCTTTGCTATTTTTTGTGTTTTGTGGGTCGGTGTGTTCATTTCTACAAAAGGATACATTGACCTTACAACACAGCCCTTTTTGGGGGAATAAAAATGCAAAATTTTTACCTTTAAAAATCTAGTATTTGTGCACTGTAGGAAGGTAATTTCCAACCAGGCCAGCCCCCAGCCAAGTCCCACTAACTGGAGGAAACTATTCCACTGATGGCTGGGGATCTGGAGAGTTTTTCTCAGTTTTCAAAATCATTATAGGACAAATATTACCTAAAAATGGCAATAACAGCTGACTGTAAGAGAGAAGATTGACCTTGGCAAATGGAACAAGTAGAATAGATAGGAATAGGAAAATCCTTATATGACATATCAGGGGATAAAATAATGAAACAAATTTTGTTTTGTTTATTTTTACATATCCATTGCAGAACTTAAGTGATAGCAAATCAGATTCTCTTTCATTCTCTTAACATAGGGCAATCTATATCTTAAGAGCAATATGTTCTTCAAAGAATGTTGTAGTCTAGCTTTGTTCAAAAGAATGCCTACTACAGCTCAGAGAGAGGAATGATCTTGCTTCTGGAAGGTTTTATGCCAGTGTCTGGGAGTCAGAAGCAGAATCTCTTTTCCTCTCTTACCCCTCCTCTACATACAGAGTCCAACATTTTCCATACATGTCATTAAATCCAGCAGAAGAATTCCTTTCTATAAAAATAATGAAAAATTATAATGTAAATAATTACATTGGTTATGTTCCTTGTGATTAAAACATCAGATTTCATCATTCCCTTAGGTAGCTATCTGTTCAGTTTGACTCACTTTGGCAAGTCAAACTGAAGTGGAAAGAGTCTTATATATGGACTCCTCTACTCCTAATTTTTGATTACGTGGGACCACTGGCCAGTATATCCTCACAGATACAAATCCCCCAACTCTTGTCTAGCATCATCCTGCCATGTCCATCTTGCAACAGACATAACTACCACCTGCCTGTTATATCCTGCATGATCGGACTCCAAAGACAATTACCAATGATGAGAATTTTCCTGTGTCAGTGTTTATAAAATATACTTGTAGCACACACACATACACACACACACATGCACATACATGTTCACATTCACCTTTACTATTCAATATCAGTCCTGGAAGCCAAAACCATGTACGTCCAGTTTCTTTGCAAGGTCTTCGAGGTGAAAATAAGCCTGCTTGATGGATAAAATACAATCTCAGTCAGTGATGGTTAATACGGATTAGAAATCATTCCAATCATTTCTGTGCTCTTTCTCACATTCTTTCATTTCTAACTCTTTTCTCTGTGTTTAAAATGTTTGTGGAACACAGGACAAATTGGAGGAGAACTTTGGCTTCTTTTGACTCTTTGTGGGTGGATACTGACTTAATATATTGTGATTTATGTTTCTCATGAATTATTAAAATTGGAGGAATTCCACTTCCCTTCACATAAATCCAAATCAAAACCCAGAGTTTGTTGGACTTTGCCTGTTGACAATGATCTCTTGTGATTTTATTTGACCCTGGTAAAAGGAGCTTGTAGTTTGGTTAGATCATGGTGGGGAATAAATGCGAAATAAGGGATGGTCTACTTTCTCAGAGTGTAGAACGCTGTGTTTTCATTTCAGAATGACATTTTCCAAACATCATCACTGTTCTGTCGCTGAACACTAGCTACACATTTATAATTGTTGATTTTGCTTTAAAGTAAAAAATCAACAAAAAGACACAAAGAAAGTTTCTGGAAGCATCAGGTAAGTAAAATAGAGTTTTAATGTTCTAAGAAATGATCAGATCTCCTAATCCCACAAGATATTTACTAACTTTTGTAGTACTTTGGTTTGAACTCAGGACTCCATGCTTGCTGGAACTAGACCTCATGGTTTGTTTTTTTCTTTTTCTTTTTTAACATATGGAATCACTTTTTGCCCAATTCAGCCAGAACTGGGATCTTCCTATTTTATACTTGGATAACAGGTGTGTGCTACCATTTATGGTTTTTCCTGTTGAGCTGGACTGGCCTCAAAGTTCTTCTGAGCTTTTCCCCTCCCCATCTCTCTCATTCCCTTTTCTCTCCTCCTCTCCCCTCTCCTCTCTTTTTCTTCTTTTCTGATACTTGGGCTTGAACTCAGGGCCTTACGCTCTTACTTGACTCTTTTTCACTCAAGGCTCATGCTCTACCAGTTGAACTGTACCTCAGTTTCTGGCTATTTACTAGTTAATTGGATATATGAATCTCATGGACCTTCCTAGCCAGACTAGCTTCTAACTACAATCCTCAGATCTCAGCCTCTTGACTAGCTAGGACAATAGGAGTAAGCAACCAGCTATGGGTTACAACTTGCCTTTTTTCCAGAGCCTTGCAGAGCATTTCTGGAAGACACATGCAAGAAATGGGACACACTAAAGGCTCTATGTTGGCAGTCAGTATGTCATGTAAATCTGTCTCTGTTCCAAACTGAATTCTACCTGCTTAACCATTTAGAAAGTGTGCTCAGTTTAAGTCATTGAATATTTGCCATAAAATTTAGACTTCTGAGAAACAGGAAATGTAATGA